CTATTCTGGAGAGCATGTCTAATATATGGGGTCACTAATGTCTAGTTCCAAAGGAGTTTTGGTGCCATACATGTTAAAGAGTTTGGCTGCTAACTACAAGGTCTGCAATTTGAAACCATCAGCCAGTTCTTGGGGGAAAGATGCTTCTTCCCTCTGCAAAGATTTCCAGCATCAGAAACCCACAGGCCAGTTCTCCTCTCTACGAGTTGGAATCAACTTGCCCGCAGTGGGGCTGGTTGTTGAAATGTGATGTGGATGCTGCTCATCTGTGACCCACATTGGGGCAGTAGGGTTCTAAAGGACAGTTAAACTTAAAGCCAAGGGAGCAAACACTAACTTGGGTTTGCATCATCATTCTATTACTTACTACCTTGGACAAGTCACGTAGCCCCTATCTGCCACTATTTCTTTTCTTCTAAAAAGAAGATGAAAATAAGGCCACCTACCTTGTGAGGGTTTCTTCTTGAGGACTGAATAAGCTAAGAGGAATTTTCAAAAAGTTTGTGGAAACTTTCCAACATCTTATAATTTTCCATGAATTTTTGGAAAACTCATATCTTGCTTAGAAAAGTGCCCAACAAACAGGATATGGTCATCACATGTTAGCAACTAGCTATTGAGTAGGTGTTTGTCAAGAAAGAGTGATGCAAACACTTTGTGCTTGACTACTGGACCTGGCGTTGCAATGGTTAAACAATGAGCTGCGGGGGAAAGACCTGGAGATCTTTTACCAAAAATCTGAACACTTAAGAAAACCCTATGGGGCAGCTCCCCTGTGTAACACGTGGGGTTGCCATCAGTTGAAATCTTCCTGCTGGAAAGGGATTTGTTTTGGGCTTCACAGTCCTGGTGACAATAACATAAGGAGTGGCGGGGACTAGACACAGAGAAGGAAGGAAAAAGTCCAAGCTGCACTGAAGGCGCTGGCGACAATCAGACTCTGACCGATGCTTCTACTAAGAGACCACGTGCTTGGTAAAGTGGAGGGCCAGTGGTAAAACGGCAGGCTCTCCATGAGCTAGAGCGACATAGTATGCCATGGACTCAGGCACAGCAACTCCTGTGAGGCCAGGCAGTGTTTCATTCAGCAGCACCCAAGACAACAATAGCAGGCACAAACGAATAACCTCACTGCCGTCGAAGCATTTCCAACGCAGAGTGACTTTTCAAAGAAAACGCACTAGAAAGCCTCAGAGTTCACCTAGTGGTTTGAAACTGCTGGCCTTTCGGTTAGCAGCCCAACAAGGACCCACTATGCCATGAGGGCTCCCTTAAGACAGAGTAAAATTGTCCCTGTGGGTTTCTGATACTCTAAATCTTTATGAGAGTAGTAAGCCTCGTCTTTCTCCTGAAGCGAAGCTAGTGGCTGCAGACTGAGGATTGTTTGGTTAGCTGTCCAAGGCATAACCCAGCATGCTGCCAAGACTCCGAAAACAGATGCACGTAAGTGAAAAGGAATAAGCAAAGCTGAATCAGAGAATTAGTGCGAAAGGAGAAACTCACCCTCTACTTTGCAATCAAAGGCATCCCCTGCTTCATCTCCAGGGAGTTTAGAGTGAGACTTTTGAAGGTCTTCTTGAGCACTTTCAATGCTGTTATAAACCCACTGTATGGCATCTTGCTGGAAATAAAAGGGGGAGGGGAACCCACAGACATTTTAGTGCTTCCAAAAATGGACATTTGTTTCAGAATTTGTCTCAGAGACCTCATTTATTTCTCCAGTTTGTTTAAAAACAAATACTTTCATGAATAAAAACAATATGAAAACTGGAAGAACAATTTTCTCCTTATGGGTTCCCCAAGTTCTAGAGCTACTCCGCAATTCTTCTGGGTAACAAGGCACCCTAGTTTATAATTTAATCACCGACCCTGTAAAATTCAGAAGTTTTACTTTTTCATTGTGGCCTTAAAATAATCAAGTTCAAATATGTTTAACTAACATAGGTTGACCCAGACACGGTGGTAATTAAAATTCTAATATAATCACAAAGATCAAGAAAACAGTTCAAACTTTTGGATTTCAATTTGATCAACAGAGTTAGGTATCTGGAAACAGGTGTCACACCGAAAACGAAAATACACCCGTGCCATTTGAAAACAGGTGATGAGACGGTCAAGATAAAATATTATCGCTTAAACGCAAGCGACCTTAATCAATTCTGCAGCTAAAGCAATCCAGATGAGATTGTAAGACCTTCATAGGCCGCCTGTATTTCCGACAGGCTGTCAGGTGGGCAATGACACTGGCGTGGGTCTCTTTGCTGACATTGATTCCATTGACTTTGATAATGCATTGTCCAGGGTGAAGACCAGATGCTGCCGCCACAGTCCCTTTGAAAACAAACGGGAATGCTGAGTGATTCTCACATATACCAAACAGCTAGAAAAGGCACATTTATAGAGAGCAAATTTTATAAGTGGTCATAGGAGATGGGTGAGATAAATAGGATTAATGTTACTGAACTGGACGTGTGAAGAATATTGAAGTAGCAAAGGTTTTGCTACATATATACATTTTTAAAAGTAAAAATGGCCCTAAATCTAAAGGTGTGCTTTGTAGCTTGCATTCGAACTGTGATTACAGAATGTTTTCTCATCTCCACAAGCTTTCGCTTGAAGGGCTATTGCAAGATGATCTTTATAATGTTAATGAGTTATCATTCAGATGCCTTTCGATCTATTTTTTAAATACAGATATCCTAGAAAAATTAGAAAGTCAGAAACATAAGTCTTATTTATCTCTACATCTTCCACAAACTAATATTGAAGTAGCATGCATCTTTGCTTTTCAAATTGTCAATCATAGAACTTGAACATACAAAAATTCTTGGGGAAAAACCTTATCTACTAGAAATTATACAAGGACTAAATTTGCTAAGAAAAATAGGAGTTCAAAATGTATACAAAAGGTCAGAAGCTAAAAAATTTGCATAAATTAGAATTAATCAGATCAAATCAAATACTCATTTTGTGCATATACACATGTAGGATTCTATTTGGAAGTAACATATGAATGAGTTAAGGCTCATGATTTGATATTATGAGCATATTTATAAAGCACCATGAATAAATATGATGAATAAAATCAATGCAATACATGATTGCAAAACATTCCTCATATGTTAGAAAGGTCTTGGTAAGTAGTCTTTCCTTTAAAGGCCCAGCATTTGCTCCCATTTATAACACAGCCTCTGAAACTCATGGTTGTCTTGAGTCAAAATGAATTCAAAGAAAAATAACAGCCACAGCAACTGTCCATATTATAACAATGCTATAAAGAGAAAATATGGAAAATTCAGGAAAATGATCTGACAGTAAGTACAGTATTCAAAAGGTACAAGAAAGATTTTTTTCACAAGCATTTATACAGAGAGCAACTTTGAACTCTAAAAAGAGACCTCTTCGTCCAGGATGGGAAAATATTCTTTAATGATACAGCCATTGATGTGTATAATGATGGCTAGGATTCCTATATATATATCTGTACAAGAAGAAGGAAATGGTGTGATTATTAGGTTTTGTGTGAACTTGGCTTTTTCGGGATTCTCCCAAGATATAATCTAACATAATAGGCAAGTCAGAGAATTGTATTCCCGTGAGCGCCTTCTCCACGTGCCAGAAGGCAAGAAGATGGCGGTATTGATCTGAGGGTAAAGTCAACTGCTGCTAACAGCTAAAATGTAGGGGAAAAAAGGGCTCTGATCTTGTTGACAAGAGTGATGGTAATGATTCACCCTGAGGACGAGGCTGCCTAAGGAAGGACCAGAAGAGAAAGTGAAGGCTATCCTCAAGTGTGGAGTCCTACCTGAGGAGAAGACCCAGCTAGAAACATCAAGGGGGTAACAAACCGAGAAAGGAAACGGTAGTAAGGAAATAGGTCTCCGTGTGGCACAATGGTTTGCATTCATCTGCAAACCTAAAGGACAGTGGATCAAGTCCACCCATCGGCTTCTGGGAAGAAAGGCCTGAGACCTGCTTCTATAAATATTACTGCCAAGAAAACCTTAAGAAGCAATTTGAACCTAGAGCCCATCAGAACTGACTCAATGGCAATTAGGTTTTTTGTTGTTGTTTTTAATCAGAAATTGGCTTACTGTGATTTTAGATTTCAAAGATGAAATTCCAGGTACTTTCTGTGGTCCCTATTCTATTAACATGCAAATCACTTCATAGTATATAGCTTAATACATAATACTTCTAGATAGGTAATTTGCATTTATATTACCAAATGCCTCCTAAACCACTGTCTCATCCAAGGAAATGAAAATTCAATGTTAAATATTATCTAGAAAGGTGCCATGAACAGTACAGCAGAAGAAACGTCAGGCTGTTTGCACCCATAAAAATTTATAGTCCCAAAAAACCTATGGAGGAATTCTATTCTGCCTTGAAGGGACAGTATGAGTCAGAATTGACTGCATGACAGTGAATGGGTTTTTTTTTTGTGTGTGTGTGTGTGTGTGTGTGTGTGTGTGTGTGTATTTCTTCATTCAAGAGAAATTGATAAATTCTAGTGAGTAATCATGGGAAAGTGTCAAAGAATACAGAAAAATAGAAATGGAGTTTCTTTTCCTAATTACAGTGCAAAAGAAGAAGAAACTTTGACAGGGGATCATATCATAAGGCAACAGGAACAAATGGATTCATTCATGTTTTCAATTATGTTCTAGTAGTAAGAATACAAATTAACACTATTTAGTTTATTGAAGATGAAATTATTTAATATATAAATAACCCCTTTGATTTTATAATCATGAGTTTTGAAAAAGTTTTAAGTGTTTACCAATCTGTATATTTTCAAAAATAAACTTTTGAAATAAGATTTATATATATAAACAGGAAAGCCATTCTAAAATCAAATAAAAGTGCAGCTACAATATGCTGGGTACATTTGGTGCTCTCAAATGTTGCCTGTCGAATGTTTGAGTGATCACCCGAAGTTGGCCTATATGTCTGCGTAATGAAATGCAGGCGATTCCCTTGACAGAGAAGGCTCTGACTTTTTAAGCTGATAGTCATACCTTTTGCTATGGCAGCAAATTATGTACTATCTGCAGGAGTAAGTAATTTTTTAAAAAAATGAACAAGACATAATAAGAGATGTCTGGGGCTGATTTGCTTATGAAACAAAAAATACACTAAACTGAAACATATTTTTTTCACTAAACTTATTTGGTTTAAAATGAATGGCTAGATTTATCCCTGGTTTATTAAGGTGCATAAAGGAATTACAGACTTATAAGTTATGTAAATCACAAATAATTTTTAAACTGGAAAACTTACCACAGTGAATTGCTAACAACAAAAAAGGATTTTCAGTCATAGAAAAATATAGACACCCTTAAAATCATTATCACCTTTGGCTAAACTGGAGTATCCCGAAAAGTAAGATTGAGTGGTGCCAGACATTGTCAAAATGTTACCCTTATAATTTTTAAGAATCTTTAAACATATGCCCATTGATTTTAGGAATGTACTTAAGCATAGAGTTAATACAGCTAAAAATTAAGACCAAATAAAAGTTCAGTCACAACATAATCAAGCATGTTTTGAACATATTCCTGTTTCACAAAAAGTATGCTGGAAAGCTGTTTATCAACCAGGATGACCTTCTTACCTCTTCCAACCGCATGGACAACTGATGGACCAAATCCCCGGATCTGGAACCCAAGTCCATCCGCGGAATCTGGAATTTTCACTGTCCTAAAGTCAAGGAGGAAATGCTATTAAAGTACATCCATACATAGAGGGAAGCTATGAGCCAGACCCAACAGATGGCCCCTGACAACAACAACGCATCCACAGTGGTTAAGAAAACAGCCTTCCAACTCGTGATTACCATGCCTTCATTCAGTGAATACACGCGAGGGTGTACAGCACAACACTGTGAACTAGGAACTTTTGAAGAAGACAAAGGGTCGTTTCGATTACAGAGCAGGCATGCGACACAGAATTCCTCAATTGAACATAACTCATTCTACGGACCCTGAAACAGGAATAGGCTTTGTGGTCAGAATTGAAATCCCCTTTCAGTCACTTAGTAGCTGCGTGGCCTGGAAAAACTTCTTGGTTGTTTTGAGCCTGAGTTTTCCCAGAAAGATGATGCTAAAAGCTACTTAGCAGGATGGTGCTGAGAATGAAAAGACAGGCTGTTGGTAAATCATCTCTCCTGTGCTATGAACGGCATTGCTGTGGATTTTGTTTGCTGCTGTTGAGTTAGCTCCTAACGCATGGCAAACCCGTGTATAATAGAACAGCATGCTGCTCAGTCCCAACATCATCTCCATGGTCCATTGTAGATTGGACTATAGTGATCCACAGTATGTTCACTACCTGGTTTGGGGAGGTAGGTTGCCTTTAATCCTAGTCTACCTTTGCCCAGAGGCTCCATGGAAAGCTGTCTAGCACCCGAGCAACACACAAACATCTATGGACAGGTGCGTGGTGGCAGCACATAAGGTGCATTGGCTGCAAATTGAGCCCCGGTCACCTGCATACAAGGGATGAATCCTACTACAGAACCATCAATGTCCCCAAAGCATTATCTAGGCACTTAATAAAATTGAAGCTTTGTTCATTAGTGAAGAGTTAAAAAGGGGGGGAAAGGTGCCCTGTGAAATTTCTTTATAAAAATTAATATTAAAAAGACTATTTTATATGTTGAAAATTTTATCCAAAAAATAACAAAGTACTAGAGCTGTCCAACATGGCATCAAAATAATTTAAGAATATGATCAACTTTATTATTGATTCAGTGACATCCCAAAAGGGTAATACATCAAAAGGTAAACCTGAATAAGAAAAAGAAGCATCATAAATGAATTTGCACTGAAAACGACATGAAGGAAGGGGAAACTAGAATAAGCTGTCGTAGCAAGCTGGCGAGAGATGTCCAATTTGGTGCTAATAAATGAGGTGCTCCACAGAAGGATGCCAGAAATCAGATAACAACCATGAAAAGCAGAGAGCACTGATAAGATGGAACATCAGAACAATAAAGCGAATATAATAAATTGCCATTGAGAGCACTGACAAATGGATAAAATGCAATGTATTTTGATGGATAGCCCTTGATGCCCAAGAAACAAGAGTGCTTTCCACAAGGTGATGAATTAATCATGAAATAAATGCCAGCAGACCTCAAGGGAACATTAACCAGAGTCTGGATTTAGGTACAGCAGAACGTATTTGCAGTGGAAGAAATAGCTGTGGGAGGCAGTTTGAGCAAGGCAAGGCAAATACTACCTTCAGACCTCGGGGCAGAGGCTAGTACTATAATCCCCACAGGGCTCAAAGTCCTAAAGATAAAGCAGCACTTGTGAACATTCTTAGAAGAAAACATAGAGTTAAGCCTTTATTACTTTGGATCAAACAAACAAAAACTCACTGCCATCGAGTGGATGCTGACCCATATCAATCTTATAGGTGAGAGCAGATCTACCCTTGTGGATTTCCAAGATGGTAATGTTAGGTAGGCTATCGTAGGGCTGGGGGATGTCCATTAACGCATGCCCAGAGGGCCAAGCTACGGAAACAAATGAGTAGTGCACTGCACATGCTCAGAGGTTTAGGTTTCCCGCCGGTAGGCATGGGTGGGGGCTGAAACTGGATTGGCACACCTAGGCCAGGTTAATTCAATTCAGCCAATGGGGTCGATCAGGGGTTGTCCACCACGCCTCCCCGTGGAATCCTTGAAAAGCCAGGAGCTTGGAGTCGAGCGACAGAACTTTGGCAGAAACTTGGGAGACTTTGCATGACTCTGTGAGCAGCTTCCAGGCAGGCCGCATGTTCGGGAGGAGTCCTACGGGTGCCTGTGTAAACCTGAAACTTCTTCTAATGCTCATAAAACCCACTTGGATCATGAGCCAGGCTTTGCTGTGAATTCTTTCTTGCACGGAGCCAAGGACCGAGGTATATCTAACTCCAGAGAGATCTAACTAACTTCACAGGAGTAGAAAGCCTCCCCTTTCCCCAGCAGTGTGGCTGATGGTTTAGAAGTGATGATCTCATGGTAAGTAGCCCTCTGTGTGACCACTCTTCATCTATCCCTGGGTGACCTAAGTGGTTGGTAACAGGCTGTTTAATCTACAGGTGGACAGCCGAAACCTACCCACTGGTGCTAAGCAAATAAAGGCCTGCTGATTTGTTTCCACAAAGATTACAGCCACGAAAACACTACAGAGCAGTTCTATTCAGTAACACATAAAATTATTACACGTCAGAATCAACGCAACAGTAATAGAGAGTTTTTGGCAGTGGGGATAGGCAAACATTGGGTGAAAGAATTATAAACCATTCCAGAGAACCTTGAAAGTATCATACTGGTGTGATAGAATATACAGAAAATGATTTCTCTTCAATAACCAATTAAATTCAAGACTGTCTTCATTTCATTTGAATGGCAGGTGGTTACGAGTGTCTGTGCAGGCACAATTGAAAATGAAACTGACTAGGGGAAAGAAAAGGGAATAAACAAATATTCTGGTACACATGGAAAGGAAACAGAAGCAAGTTCATGCTTCTAAATATTATGAGTTCACTTTTGCGGCATTAACTGAACTTTCAGGCCTTGATGAACGATGATGCCTTTAGGAGCCTAGGAATTCATAGTGTCTTCTCCTTGCTCACTAAGCAAGGTCCTTCAATCCCTTTCTAACCTATAGAAGGTTGGGTCAATGCTAACCTCTAAAATTAACCCTCAAAACGACTAGTATTCAAGAGATGCATTTGGTGAGAATACCACCACTCCTCTCACAAAATGGCCTCTGGGCGAGGTGTGTTCCTGGGGAGAATGCTATATTGCCCTTAAAGGATGAATTACATCTATACAGGAAGGCCATTCTGTCCTGATAGGAGATAAGCACACCAAGGAATCTGCTGCGTTAACTTTGGCCAAAATAGTAAGTTGAAGTTCTCTCAAATATACTTGACATTATCAAGTGTAAAATTCAACACATTGTTGCATATTTTAGCCTTTCCCCCAAAAAAGCAGAGTTAAATTATAGAATGTTGTCTAATTAGCCATCCTCAGAAAATACGAGTGATTTATAGAAACCAGACATCAGAAAAAGGAGGTGTAAAAAAAGTTACAGATATTTTTAAAATCTAAAATAAAAAGGTAGGGAACATGAGGCCACCGTCAAAGAAAGTTTGAAATAATTGCCTCGTAAGATACACTCCTGATATAACAAAGGAGCCATGAAGCTAACAGGAATGTGAGAACGGGCACCAGTGCCAGAGACCACATCGCCGGAGAAGTCCATGTGTTGAACACATCACACAATGTTTTAAGAATCCACATGTAGTCAATGCCCTTGGCAGCCCCATCACACAGGCACTCAGCATCACCGCTTTATGAATGAGGGTACTGAAGCACAAATAGCAAGCAGTGGATGAGAGGTTTCCCTCCAGACCTAGAACTTAGGGATGCAGAGATTCTGCACAACAAACACCATGGGGAAAATCAGAAGGTTAACCCCATTGCTCAGGATGTGCCCACCTCTATTTAGACCTAATTTCTTTTTATCTGTAAAAGGAAGAGCTTGAAGTGAATGGTCTCCAAGCCCTGTAACCGTCAACATGGCTCTGATCAGTGAACCTGTATTTGTGTGGCTCAGTTAGGGAGCAAGGGCGTATGGGAAGGACACTTCTGCTTAGTGAAATGTCTTTGGAAGATTATGTCCTATTGCTTTCCACCAGTCAGACTTAAGACTTTCAAATATCCCCAAAGCAGCACCAACTGGGTCATCAGGTTACCCGTTTCAGAGTTCAGATTAGACAAAGGTGGAGTAGTAGATAATAACTAAGTTTAATGAAAACACATCATTGTAGGATTTTGTCACCTCTACTTCAGAATCTTCTTAAATGACTCTAATTGAGTCACGTTCACTTTTTCATGTCCCTTGTTAATTTAGGGTCAGGTGTTGGTATCTACTTTTGCAATCCCTGTATCATTCCAATGGCCCTCCAGGGAGCAGGATTGACTACTTGGCAATATTGATCTAAAGCATCACTCAAGTTCACATATATAGGATTATGTATAAGTATAGTAATACTAAGGGAAAAGACACCTAATATTAAAGTTCCAAATGCAATAATTATTATGATTTATGGATACTATGAATATATAATCAATACTCATGGAAGCAACAGTCAAGAAATCTTATGAAGCACTACATTGGGCTAATCTTCTCCACAAGACCTCTTCAACATGTTCAAAAGCAAGGGTGTTCAAGGACTAGAGTGCACCTACATCAGCCGTGGTATTTTGGCTCAATTGCAAGTGAACTTTGGACACTGTATAACGCCGAAGAAGGACCGCCGCATCTGAATCATGGGGCTCGGGAACAATATTGCGAGTGACATGGACTGCCACAAGAACAAATAATCTCGCCACAGAAAAAGCATACCGCTCCTTAGAACACGGAGGGTGAGACTTCATCTCGTGTACTTTGCACATGTTAGCAGGTACGACTAGTCCCTGGAACAGGACATCATGTTGGTCAAGTAGAGGGGCAGTGAAAAAGCCTAAGACCCTTGACGAGCTGGATGGACACTCAGCTGCAAGATGGGCTCAGACTAAGAACGATGGTGAGGACGGTGCAGGACCGGGCAGTGTTTCCTTCTGTTGTGCCTGGGGCCGCTATGAGTCGGGGCCTGGGCAGCATCTGGCAACAGCCGAACTAGACAGCATCTAACAACTGAGTGTTCTCATTATAGAAGAAGAGGGGCTTCCTTTGGGAAATGTGGACCCTCGGTTCCCTATAAGAAATACAATGAACTTTTTTGATCAAGTAGATAGAGGTAGGAAGATATTTTAAAAGAAAAGGATATATGTGCATTACAAAATGTAGCATAACTCAAGAAATACTTATAGTTCAGCAAAAGTAGTTATTCTCAATTTAATTTTGTTCTCCCATTAATTTTCTCTACTCATAGTCAAATTCAATCCAACCAGAGACTGGGATAATTTGGGCAGCAAAGACAACAGTTATGTCTACTAAAACTACGTGGGTTGAGGATCATCATAAGCAATGTGGTTTTCTCCACCCTCTAAAGATTGGTATTGGTAATGTTCATGTTTAGATGTTTTGAGCAATGCTGAGCTAAAACCTCAACAGTTGCTTAGTGAACTTTTCTATTTTACTCATCTGTATACAATATTTTAAAATGTCAAATCCAACTTACTCCCTTGGCTTTGTGCTCACGAGAACTCTCAGGGGTTTTCTGCTGTTTAAGCATGATTTCAGGAAGCTGTCCACTTCGTTGAAAGGTCTCATGAAAACCAGGTCGCCATTAATAGCAAAAATCTTCTTCCCAACTTCCATCCCAGCCATCTAAGACCAAAAAAAAAAATTAAATTCAAATTATGCTTTCATAAGGAATCTATCTTTTCACAGAATGCAGATCTCAAAAGATTCAGAGCTTACAGACTTTGTCATTTTAATGGGGGATCAAGTCTAAGTGCACAGGTACACAATTATAGATATGTTTATAAAACAAAAACACAAAATGCAAAGCTGTTGATTCTTGACATTTCCTCCATCTCGTCCCCCTAGCTCTCCAACTCTGCCAAAGAAGCCTGCACACTGCTATCTGAATCAGGTCCAAATGGCAGTTTCAGCATCTTTCAGGTACACACACCATGTTCTTCGGGTTTGCAGAATTTTTTTTAGAGAGCCTGAAGAGGCAAAATCAGGACTGTGGGGTAGATGGGTTAGGGTTTCCCAATGAAATTCTCAGAGGATAATCCTTGCTCCTGTCGAAGAACGTGCAGGCGCAATGATGTTCTACAGCGTTCTCAATGACTAGGACCTTTCAGAAGCAATCATCAGACCTCCATCTGGAGGAACCTCTCAATGGGAGGGTTTGAACTGCCAAATTTGGTCGGTAGCCTAGCACTTAACATCTGTGCCACTCCTGGACTCTTGGCTAGCACATCCCAGTGCCACCAAGTGGATTCTGACTTATAAGCACATGTAAAGGGTGTCTGAGATGGTGAGACGGTCAGTCTTTATGGGAACAGACAGCCGCATCTTTCTCCCTCAAAGCAGCTGGTCAACAGATTTGAACTTCCAGCCTTGAGCTTAGCGGCCCAAAGTCTAACCCGCAGCATTTCCAGGGCTCCTTTGTCCAACACATAATAGGTACTAAATTAATATTTTCTGGTGCCATTTGTTTAGTAAGCATTAGACTGCTAACCACTAGGTAGGTGATTCAGACCTACCAGCTGTTCCTCTGAGTAAGATGCGTCTACTTGCCCCCATGAAGGTTGCCAGGAGTCAGAATGAACTCCGTGGCAGTGGGTTTGGCTTGGGTTTAATGAATATGAATAATCATAAGACTCCTTTGTTTAAAACAGTGGTTCTCAGCCTTCCTACTGCTGCAACCCTTTAATACCGTTCCTCATGTTGTGGTGACCCCCCAACCATAAAATTATTTTTGTGGCTACTTCATAACTGTCATTTTGCTACTGTTATGAATCACAATGTAAGTATCTGATAGGCAGTATATATTTTAATGGTTACAAATTGAACATAATTAAAGCATAGTGATAAATCACAAAAACAGTATGCAATTATATATTGTGAAATATTTATTTCTAATTATAAATAAATGCAATTTTGTCTTGAAGCCTGGTGTAGCATGGGTAATAGCGGGCGTATCTGCATGTGGGCGGACCTGCCTGGAGAAGGAGAGAGGAGCAGTGTCTCAGTTCCTAAGACCATTCGGAATGTGTTTTCTGATGATGTTCATCCCCAAAGGGGTCATGACCTACAGGTTGAGAATCGCTGGTTTAAAAGGCTGGTGTGTCAAAACAGCACTGTCAGCATGAATCCAATGAGTAAATAAGACAGAGCATGTACCTTACCAAAGATAAGTCAAATTTAACATGGAAGTTATGAATGATCTGACAGTCATACTATCATTCTGCCTGTAGAGTCCCCTTAGAACAATGAAGAGTGGGAGCTCAGGAAGATCAAATGAGTCACTGGCTTTCCTAGGAGGTGAAGATGTTCACACCCTCAACACATCTCTGCATACCCCTATTCTCAACCTTCCTTCAGCTCTCCCGGAGTGCCTGGACATGGGCTTGTGGGCCACGGGCTCCAAGAGTAATTGGTACCAGCTTAGAGTAAATTTACCTGGGAATGCCTCCCTCAAGAAAATCAGATAAGTTTTCTATTTCATTAGAAAGTTTATCTTTATATGTTACAACAGCAAAATTAAATTAAAATGACAATTTACATTACCTCAGCATTGGACCCCTTTTCTACCAACTTTATCATTGGAACTTTATTTTTGTCTTCTAACCCAAAGCCATAACTGCCTTTGTCAGACTTAATCTGAAATGCAAAATTATACACATTAATATGATAACCATTAAAAGCTACAAATCAAACAGGATACATCACTATTAAACACGTTTATAGGCTGATCAAAATGAAAATGTATATGGCATACTAAGACACTTACCAGTAATGATTTAGCTATAACATTTTCCACAACTTTTAAATCATGTTTCATAAGCCGATGCTTCATATTTGATCCTTCCATTTCTTCATCCGCAAAAAATCGAAAAAGTAAGGGTTCATCTTTAAATTCACTTTTCTCCAGAACTGCAGAAAGAGGTTCAAATTATTTCAATTAATCCAAAAATCAAAGATGTTTCCCATACTAGTAGAGATCATTCACTTTTTAGATAAAAACTAAAACCATTGCTGTCAAGTTCATTGCAAATCAGGGTGACCCTATAGGACAGAGCTGAAGTGCCACTGGAATTTCCAAGGCTGTGATATTTACAGAAACAGACTGCCACATCTTGTGGTTGGTGGGCTTGAACCACTAGCCTTGTGGTTAGCAGCTGAGTACTTAACCACTGTGTCACCAGGACTCTTCAGGAGACATGAGATAAATTAGTATCTCTTCCACAACTCCTAGGACAAGTAACATTTACAAGTATCACTAGGATTTGTTTTCTTACTTCCTACAACATCAGCCCAACATTCCTTTCCTCTTTAGAAGGATTGCCTCTGGGTCTGTGTTCAGGTTCTTCTTGAGCACAAAGAAATGTTCTAGAATTCCCATTTTTCTCAATGTTATTCATAATTTATTATGATCCAGAGAGTTCAATGCTTTGCATACTCAATAGAACACAAGTAAATATCTTTCTAGGATTCTGTGTTTCAGCCAAGATACATAGGAGGTCAGTAATAATATCCTTCCTTCCACCTCCTCCTCTGAAGCCAGCTAGAAGTGCTGGCAGTTATTTGTCCATGTGCTGCGACAGTTGTGTAAAATGTATCTTCATCAATATTTTACTTGTATATGACATTAATGCTGTTGTTCCTTAAGTTTAACATTTGGTGTGGATATGGATCTCTTCCAGTTGGTTGAGCAGGTCTTACAAAATGTCTGGGCGTGTACTAGTGAATTATTTCCAGTGCTGCATCAGTGTTTGTTTTGTTTTGTTTGAAACATTTCACTTGGTATTCTTCCAGTTCCCAGAGCCTTGGTTTTGCTAATGCCTTCAGTGCAGCTTGGACGTCTTTCTCACAACATTAGTGTGTTGGAATATATTTATATATTTATTCAAATCAAGCAGTTACATGCAGAAGGTAATAGGAAAGCAATCTGAAGAGAAATGGGAGAAACTGGTAAGACAGGAAGAATCATTGTAATTCTTCAAAAGAGTCCAATGCCTAAAGCAAAACCATCTCTGCTATTCTCCTTAGTTGATTATCGTTTCACTTAAAGGTGAGGTTAGGAAAACAGTTTCTTAAAGGCTCAAGGATCACATGAGCACCTAAGGGCAGATTGCCCCTGTGGGTCACCTCACATCCAGAGACAACATAAATCTGGGTACCAAGAGAATTGAAAGATTTTTATCAAAATGTATGTGTTTTTAAATGTCAACATCTTAATGTTTTTAATTTCTTGCACAAATACAGAAAATTCAAATAGGTTAAATATTGTCCTCGTATGTATGAGTAATCCCCATTCTGTCATTTTTGTTCACCCTTCAAACCTGAAATACAAAAATTGAGTTTTAAAAGATGGTGGCATTTTTTAGAAAATCTTTGGAGAACCCCTTGCAAAGCTTTTGCGTCAAACACCTAATAGTTTTCTGTGTAAAAGCAATATTCATAAAAGGACCTGATTTCTCCCAGGTCAGCACTGTCCCCTTCAGCATCAAAGGAGCCTTAGTGATGCAGTAGTTGAGCTCTCGGCTGCTAGCCGGAAGGTTAGCAGTTTGAATCCAACTGATACCGCAGGAGGAGGTCGTTCAGTCTGAACAACCATCAAGATTTACAGCCTTGGAAACCCTGTGAGGCCATTCTCCTCTGTCCCATCGGGTCACTCTGAATTCAAATTGGCTCAGTAGCAGGGATTCTTTAATCCAAAGAGCTTTTCCCAAAGTTCCTAGCTTGCACCCATTTACATAAGTTTTATGTTTTGTTAGCCTTGTTAAAAAGAAGATGAAATACTAATAGGAAGAATTTGTTTTCAGTGAGATCCTCACAGCTTTCAAAGATTGTCTTAAAAGCATTTTAGCCATGGGGGGTTGCTCTAAAATGGATGTGAGGAGTGATTGTACAATTCTGTGTGATATGATTGAATGATTGAACTACTGAATTACACGATATGTAAATTTATAAATCCCATAAAATAGTATGAATGGAGGGAAGTAAACCAACCCTCATAACGTTTACAAATCAAGAGGAATGACATCAAACAAGAAGATATCTGATCTTTAGTGAGTAGTCAAGAAAGAAAAATGGGGTCAGGGGAAGGTGGGGGGAGGAAGGGGGAACCAATCACAGTGATCTTCATATAACCCCCTCCCAGGGGACCAGACAACAGAAAAGTGGGTGAAGGGAGACAGCGGTCAGTATAAGACATGAAAAAAAATGATAATTTATCAAAGGTTCATGAGGGAGAGAAAGTGGGGGAGGGGGAAATGAGCTGATACCAAGGGCTCCAGTAGAAAGAAAATGTTTGAAAATGATGATGGCAACATATGGACAAATGTGCTTGACACAATGGATGGATGGATGGATGAATGGATTGTGATAAAAGCGGTAAGAGCCCCCAATAAGATGAAGTTTTTAAAAAAATGATTTTTCAACACTTATAATGTTCACCCCACCCCTGAGGGGGATGAATAACAGAAATGTGGGTGAGGGAGACAACACACAGTGTAAGACACAAAATAACAATAATAATATATAATTGATCAAGGATTCATGAGGATGGGAGTGTGGGGGAAGGAGGGAATAAAAGAAGAGCTGATACCAAGAACTCAAGTAGAAAGAAAATGTATGGGAAATGTTGATGGCAACATATGTCCAAGTTTGCTTAATACAATTAAATGATGACTGATATAAGATTTGTAAGAGCTCCCAATACAATGATTAATAAAAAATAAATGAAATAAAAGTTTTTCCCAGTCAAAAATAAAGAGTTATAATTTTATTGAGGTAAATTTGAAAACGTTTTCCTAAAAAGGGCACATATATTCAACCATATATGCTATTATTTCATCTCGAGGGATCTATATTATAGCATATATTTACACCAACACACACAAAAAAATTTAGTTATCCACAACAGCCTGAAAGAGCTGTATGAGTTTCATCTTCTTTTTATATTCTGGCACAAACCTTTGCTCCTCTGGCATCAAGACAGTCTCGAAAAGTGGGAGACAAGGGAAGTAGCTGGAAGATAATACTAATTAGTCTGGGGATTGGCACCAACAGAGAAACTGATTGCAGATGGGCCCTTGGCGAACCTCCGGCAGTCTTGCTGTTACATTCCTTAATAGCTTCATGGGAACACTCAGAAAGTCCCAATCCCCCAATGCACAAACGAACAAAAAAATACCCGGGTAATACTCCTAAGTAAACATTCTTACCATGATGCATAAATCCATTGTCACAGAGTCCAACAGCAAATATCATCGCCTCTTCCCTGGTTCGGCAATCCCCCTGTTGACCACAAAAGCACAACACAATGTAATAGGCAATAGAAGGCTCTGCTGCCCCTCTGCTACATGTGGCATTCCCGGCAGTATACTCGGACAAAATCACTCGCAGATCACGGTTTTCAGCCCTTTTAGATGCCCAGGATGCATCTGTTGTTATAACTTATCCCCATAGTTATGAGAATATTTTCTTTTGACATTGAAAAGCGCAGATGTAGTGTTTCTTGAGAAAAGCATGATCTCTTAAATATGAAAATAAAATGTATTGCTACTCTAAATCTCTTACTACTATTTCTGTAGACCTTGTATTCCAATTATGCGACTGGAAAGTATCATAAATATTGGCCACATACTAAAGCAAAGTAAAACACTGCGTGTGATTTCTGCTCCTCACTGACATAACTCTCAGGTTCCACCAAGTGACCTTGCTCTGTTAGCAATCTAAAGAGATCTGCCTGTCTGAAGTCAGCTAAGATGCTGATGGTTCCCCTTGAGTGAGTTTTACACTCTCACACTCATAAAGCTTAGTGATAAAGGAGACCTTATGTAGCACTATTCTAGGAAGTAGTAGATACTTGTGAAAACAAAAATCAAAAGAAATTAAATTACTCATTCAAGTTGACAAAACTAGTAACTAGAAGAACTGGCATCGGAAACAAGGTTGTCTGAATTCCGTTCTAGCACAATTTCTATCACATATAAGGTCTATGGATATTACAATAACAGATCATTAAGAAAAACTGAAGCTAAAATAAATTATAACATCATCCATTTTTAAAGAAACTTGCTTGATTGAAAGCACTTAATGCAAATTCCCAAAAAACTAACTTCTTGAGTCAAAACTTTAAATATTTATTCAGCAATATATTTTGCTCCGAGTAAAGCTTCTTCAGTTTTCTCACATAAATACTCCTTGAGAGTAGAGTTAAAAAAGACACCTGATCATCTAGCAACGAAGCAACACACCCACATGGATGAAGCACACCAGCCTGTGCAATCATGAGGTGTCAATGGGATTGAGTAACAGGCATCAGAAGACCAAAACAAACAAAACCATATTGTTGAGAATGAGTTGGGTCAGAGCAGAGACCCCCAAATCTATAGACAATGGGACATCCCCTCACAGAAGGGTCACAAGGAAGGGATGAGTAAACCAGAGTGCAGTATAGTACCGATGAAACACAATATTCCTCTGGTTCCTTGAGGCTTCCTCACCCCCCCCCACCCCCCACTATCATGACTCCAGTCCTGACTGTCACTGCAGGCTGGACTGGAGCATGTGCACAGGTACAGATAAGAGATAAAAGCTCATGACACACGGAATCCAGGAACAGGAATGGGAGTAACAATAACAGGAGGGTAGGGGGAAGGTTGGGAGAGGAGGGGAGGAAGAGGGAACGGATTGCAGTGGTGGACACATAACCACCTCCTTCCCCATCCGGAGGGGATGAACAACAGAAACCATGGAGAAGGGAGATAGCGGTCAGTGTAAGTTATGAAAATTATAATAATTTATAATTTATCAAGGTCACGAGGGTGAGTGGGGAAGGAGGGAAAAGAGGATCTGATAATAAGGGCTCAATAGAAAGCAAATGTTTAGAAAATGATGACAACATATGTACAAATATCCTTGATACAATTGATGTATGCATTGTTATAAGAGCTGTAAGAGCCCCCAATAAAATGATATCTTAATTAAAAAGGAAAAAGAAAAACTACGGAAAGCATAATTAGGGTGATTTCTAAAAGTAATTTTTGGCTTAACCCAAAATCTCAGACTCAAAATAAAGTAAACTTGAATGTTGTCAAATTCAAAAACTGGATGATCTTGAATAGTTTAGGAATTCATATTAAGTAGTAAAAGTGCTAAAATATATGTGCTCAGATAAATACACAGACAACATTGATTGAACATTAATATTTGAAAAACATCATCCTTCGTCATGAAATACTAAATGTTATAGTCTACTTATAACAAAGAAAATAGGCCATATTAATAAATGAATAAATAAAATTGCTTATGAAATGGATAAGTAACCAAACCTAATAACTTAAATTTTAATCAAGCAAGGCCTCCTTCTCCCAAACACTAAATTCACCCCAAATGTATTGTTTTCTTGGTCTTTTATTTAATAATCATTCAGAAATATTTTGTATTTATTAACTGACACAATGTGGAACATTTTAAATAAATTCAGATTTGATTATGTGTTATGATGTGTTGGATGCCCTGATTTGTTGTACTTACAAGTAAAATAAAAATTTTTTAATACTGGCCATCAGCAACCCATACTAAAGGGTACAGTGACAACAAGAACAAACTTTGTTCTTTATTTACAGTGTATTAATTAAAGACATTAATTAAAGTTTATCCCCTGCTTCCCAAAAGTTCTTGTTATGCCACATTTCTCTTTAATTAAAAAACTCAAAGAGGATTTTGATTTTACAAAAATGGTGAAAAGCAAGAAAAGAGCATTCAGTGTGTGTTTGGCCTTGCAATGACCCCTTACAGAAACAGCATGGCACTCACTGGTCAGTTAAGAGCGGGATCGCCTCACTGAAGACAAATAAGTGCATAAGTAACTGTGGTAAAGAAAGCTGATGGTGCCTGGCTATCAAAAGATTCAGCATCTGGGATCTTAAAGGCTTGAAGATAAACAAGTGGCCATCTAGCTGAAAAACAACAAAGTCCACATGGAAGAAGCATGCCAGCCTGTATGATCATGAGGTGTCCATGGGATCAGGTATCAGGTACCAAATTACCCAGAACAAACAATCATATTGATGCAAATGAGGGGTGTGGGGGGGGTTTGAGTGGAGACGCAAAGCCCATCTTTAGACAAATGGACATCCCCTCACAGAAGGGTCACAGGAAGGAATGAGCCAGCCAAGACACAGTACAGCACTGACGAAACACACTAGTTCTTTAATGCTTCCCCTCACCCCAACTATCATGACCCCAATTCTACCTTACAAATCCAGCTAGACCAGAGCACATACACAGGTACAAATAAAGATCTTGCAACACAGGGAATCCAGGACAGATAATCCCCTCAGGACCAATAATGAGAGTAGCAATACCATGAGGGCAAGGAGAAGGTAGGAGAGAAAGGGGGAGGTGATCACAATGATTGATGTATAACCACACACACACACACACACATTCACACACAGGGGGATGAACAACAGCAAAGTGGGTGAAGGGAGAGAGCGGTCAGTGTAAGACATGAAAATAACAATAATTTATAAATTTTCAAGGGTTCAGGAGGGAGGGAGGAAAAAATTAGGAGCTGATATAAAGGGCTCAAGTAGAAAGAAAATGTTTTGAAAATGATGATGGCAACATATGTACAAATGTACTTGTCATAATGGATGGATGGATGGATGGATGGATGGATGGATGGATGGATGGATGGATGGATTCTTATAAGAGCTGTAAGATCCCCTAATTAAATTATTAACTTAAAAAAAGAGTGGGATTACCAAGCTCTTTCCCCAAGAAGTACACTGTACTCCTACATTAAAGCTCCCTCACTGCCACTGAGTCAGTACTGACTCAGTGAGTCTAGAGCTAGTCAGTGTAGAACTGCCCCTGTGAGTTTCCAAGACTGTGTTTATGAAAGCCTCCTCTTTTTCCCACAGAGTTAGTAGTTGTTTCAAACTGTGGACCTTGCAGTTAGCAGTCCAATTCACAACCACTACACCACTAGGCCTCAATGTTTTACTGCTACTTTATACAGGTTGTGTACCAATTATATCATTCCTGCTTTGACTATAGGTTGATATTGTTCTAGGTCTAGGTCTTGTACATTATTTCATGTGACTTTGTAGGTTAATTGATGGTAGTGGGAATGATTAAAAATTATCTCATATAAATGAATGGTAATTGCCTCTTCGTTTGCCATTTCAGCTTATGACAATTTTTAAAGGAACACACTCTACCTTCCAAGAGAGGAAGTGGCATAGACTAACCAGGAAAAAGGCAAGGGAGGGAGGCTAGCCAAAACTCACTGGGTCTAGTCAACACACAGTTCAAAAGCATGCGTGAAGAAAACAAACACCTTCAATATATGAGTGAGACTCAAATGAGTCATAATTTATTTGATGGATATAAACAGATGTTTATTTAAATACGAGCATCTTCTTTTTGAAAGGCACTATAACATAAAGGTTGAAGGCTAATTAGGAGTCAGACTAATTAGGTTCAAATCCTGAATCTGCTTCTTGCTAGCTGTAAGACCTTGGGCAAATAACTTCACTGTGCCTCATCTGTGAGACAGGGACACAACACAGGTCCCAACTCACATGGTCAAAGGTTAAAGCAGCTGTAAATGAAATTCAAAACCTACTGTTTATCCACTTACTTGTGCAATTAACCAATCTATCAGTTTGTTGGCCATAACCACAGATTTGTAGGTCCTTAAATGGTAATCTTTATCTCTAGAAAGAGAAAAAATATATCAAAGACATTAAGCAAGGGGAGTAGTTCGCTTCCGTTTGATGTCACTATGCAACTGAAAAGTTTATACCATCAGAATCTCTTATCCAAAATATATGTAACTAAGAAAGATTCACAAAGCAAGTAAAATGCCTGAAATCCAGAGTCAGCACATGTGGATCCAAAAGAGTCAAGTGATCTACGGCGACAAGCAGAGGGATCTCTTCTGCATATTCACACATCCAAAGAGATTGTGTCAGCTACATGTATTTGATACACAGTTATAACAACCTAACTGAAGATGCAATATTTCATTAATAAAAGAATTATAAAGAATAATTTCTCCCCATTAAACCAAGGTAGATTCTACTAAAAAAATCTTAAAATGTGGAGAATGAAGCAAATCTCTGTATTCACACTTGAATTCTCCAGAGAGGCTGGAGCTGAAGCAGAAGACAATAGGGCTGTCCAGAACATATCCTGCAAACCTGGCCATTCATTTTGCTGATCAGCGCATGAGCAGAGTGACACCAAAGCCCTGGGGAGCCAAAGGAATCAACTTCTTATTCAGTCAACCTCCCAGATCTGAGAAATCATTCCACATTTACTTAGATACCACCCAAGTGCTGTTGATCAGAACCGAGCCCCAAATCTATAATTCATTATGTTGCAGACTTGGATCAAAAGGGAATAAAAAAATGATTGTCTTTTCAAATGTCATAAAGCCCCAACTATGAGCAATTGAAGTGACTGATAAGTACTAACTACATCCACTGGACTATAAACTGTCAGTAAATTATAATTGATAATTGATATTTACATCATTCTACCTACCATCGAGAATGCGGTTGGAACTTTTGAAATTTCAATAATCAATTAACTATGTTAGCCAATAAGTAAAAGTAGCTTTTTAAAACATTCTATTTCCAAATTCTGATATCTTATTGTCTATTTTATCTTGGTTTCAATAAGCATCAATAAGAATGAAAAAGGGCGTTACATAATTAAACCATACGTAGGCCTGTGGGGCTTTTGCACCAAGTACTTTCCCTTATCATACCCTGAGTTCACACATATTAAAAGCATGACTATCACACAATCTGTTTTTATTGTTTTTGTAATTATATATTTTCCCTTGACAACTCATAAACAGTTGCAATTTGTAGCCAATTATTTCTTATCAGTTCTTCAGAATGCAGCTGTATTGAAAAGAAATTCCACATAGCTAAAATAAATTTCCCAAACACATTTTTCTCATATGTAAAGTCTGCATACATTCAGGTGATATAGAACATTAAAACTATTATATGCTATCAGTTTAGCAACAAAAATAATAATTTCAGTAACCACTTTCTAGTGAGTTGGGTAATTGTCTTTTAGTATTATATTATTACAAAAGTATGCAAGAAGTCTATGCCTGTAATAAAGCCAACAGCCAACAAATATGGATTCCCTTCCAATTTTCCTGTTTATAAAATCTATATTGGAAAGCAGACATGGCACTTTTGAGGGCAATGGGTAAAATATATTTTTTCCTACAGAATGTTTTCTAAAATGATCCTAACAGCACTGCAGTGAGAGTATGAATTCCAAAACACGTCAACAACAACCCTTGTATTTATTCTCTCTCCCTCTCCTTCACTCTCCTCCTCTCTCCACTCCCCCAGCTCTGAATTTCCTTCTATCAGAATTTGGAATGAGAGACACAAACACTAAACATTGAATATCTTTATTTTATAGTCAACATACTCCATTTTGATTCTATAGTCAAGATACTCCTATCCTGCCTTTTAGAAATAGTAGATTTTATGTTTATTTTTTGCTCTAAAAACATGACTTTGATGATAAACTCCACGGAATGTGACCTAGCCACTGAAAACTAGTCACATTCAATGAATACAGACGGCAAAAGTAGAGTACATTTCTCAAGATCTCCTCTGCTAATAATAATAATACATATTACAAATCCTCTGTTAATAATAATAGTACATACTACAAAGATTTCCACCAACTTTCTAAAACTGAAATATGAGGTTTATTACTCTTATTCTCTTCCAAAAACAAGCAAAGAAATCATTATGCCTTCAGAAGGAAAATTATAAAAAAAAGTTATATTGAAAATAACAATTGCCAAACACAATCTTTCTTTGGATAAAAAATCATTAGCTAGAAATATTGTGAAATAAAATACGTACCAAGAATCGATTAATTATCAAATTAATACAAGTAATCATAATGGTGAATATATGACTAACACTATTTCCAAATCCTCTCTTAATCACTCAACTATTATGTATTCAATATTATTTCAATATATATTATTCATTATGAAGTCTAAAATATTATTTTACCATACATCATTCATTATTAATTTTAAAATTTAAGGCAAAACTATTTTTTAAATAAAAAAAGAAGTAGAGAAAGATTACATACCATAATTGAGCCTCAGAAAAATTTAGGGTTTTTTAAATAATAAACTGTTATATAATATCTAAACATTAACTTACTTTAAAAGAAAAATATTATTTTACCATACATCATTCATTATTAATTTTAAAATTTAAGGCAAAACTATTCTTTAAATAAAAAAAGTAGAGAAAAATTACATACCATAATTGAGCCTCAGAAAAATTTAGGTTTTTTTTAATAATAAACTGCTATATAATATCTAAACATTAACATACTTTAAAAGAAAAATACATCACCAAGTTCTAGCTGAATAAAAGCCAAAAACAAACTCAAAGCCTCTGAGTCAACTGCGACTCACAGGATCTTCTAGAGGTTTCTGAGGCTGTACATAGTTCCTGAACAGACAGCCTCAACTTTCTCCCTCCCTCAGACCAGCCGGTGGGTTGCAATTGCCAGCTTACAGTCTGACCTTCGAAGACCAGGCCTACCTAACAATGTCACTGAGGCTTCTAACTGAAGAGCACACCATATAAATACCTTCACTGAAGATTTCCAGAACTTAAACAGGACTCACCTTATCACTGGGGTAAACAGACTATGAAGACGGCAGTACAGCCTTACACCCTACGTAAGAGAAAGATATGTCAAAATCAAGTCAGATCACCCAAAGGGCACTTCAGCGAAAATTTGAAATTACAAATGCATCTGCTGTTAATATTCTGGAGTCTTGACACGCACAGCCCAAACCAAGTTAAAAATTACTCAAACGCTACATTATATCACAAAACAATGAAATAAATTTAAATCGCGGCTAAATTGTGGCATGAATTTTCCATTATAGAGATTTAGGGTTTTTTTCTTAAACTATGAAACCTCAAGGTGTTTTCCAACAGGAAACCCCAACGCATTATCCACGTGTCATAAGTGCGTCTTGCTGTAGGGAAGTAGAGCTCAATGCGGCCAGCTTTCCACCTGACACCGTCAGATTACTTTTGAGGATTGTACCAGACAGAAACAAGACTTAACATGGGAATTCCTGAACCGCATGAAGAAACAGAAGTTTGATCGTGTATGTCATTTGTAAATCTTTGACACCAGAGAAGTTTTTATTCTTTCAAAAGCATTAAATCTTGCTGATGTAAAGAGGCCACATGAGTTCTGCTATAGATACAAGGCTGAAGGAGAGTTGTTACCTTAGAAATCACGTCCTGCATCTCGTTTCTTGGATAAAATGTTCCGTCATCGTAGCGAAACCTATATAACATCTGTTCTGGTTTGAACTGATGTTTATCAGTAACTGAGAATGCAGAAACAATACATTAAAATCGAAAAGTTAGCAGATAAAAACAAATAACTTTGTGAAACGTTTTCCTCATTTTTTGGGAAACATTCCTTTTCTAACTAGCAATGCTAAATCAGCAATTGATCATGAGATTTGAGAAGTTTTATTGCTAAGTATATAATTTCTATACAGTATTTTAAAAACTAAATTTAAATGATCCATAGTCAACTAACACATATACAATAATATTCACAACATACATGTACACATACATGCACACACATGCATACATGTATGAGGGTAAGCAAAAAGATTGCTACTGGGGTTGCAGCTCATCCAACATGGATGTATTCCAAACAGCACAGAGGTTCTCTAAGGAATACACTGGTCTTGGACAGGTCAGGCTTCCTTCCAAAACAAACATACAATCAAAACATCAGCTTCTGAAGGAAGCTTAAAGTAAGGTGACCAGATTTTAACATTGGGAAAGCGGGACACCATTGATAAAACTCATATCCTGGCGAATAGCCACATGGCAGCCGAAAACCGTATACTCTAGCTTGTTGTGCATTCTTTCAAAAAATCGGGACTTTTTAAAAACGCCGCGGGATACGGGAAAAATTGTTAAAAATCGGGACTGTCCCGCCAAAAGCAGGACATCTGGTCACCTTAGCTTAAACTCAAATTAGAGAAGTCAGTTTAAGATTATGGTGACAGTTTACAGAGGTTTCAAAGGGGTAATCTTGATAGAATTTTCAAAGAGACACAGGTGGATTATGGGGACTTATTAAGAAGAAGGGTTTTGTTTTTTTTTGTTAATGTAAACTGCATGGTGGGGAAAAGGCCAAGAAAATTAAGCCAAGGGATTTTTTTTCCCAGCATGGCTGTGCACCTGCTCATTTTGAGGGTAAATAGGTGAGTATTTCCTTGGGAAACATTATGTCATCCACCCCTGAACCCTGCCATTTGCCTACCTCTGCAGGCTTCTTTTTGCTCCAAAATTTAAAAAGCATTTTAAAAGAATACAATTTGCATCCCTTAAGGACACCCAAATTGCTGTTTTGAGATGGTCTAAATTGAAGAACCCAGAATTATACCAGGAAGGGGTAAAAACCAAACTCAGTGTTGTCAAGTCGATTCTGACTCATGGGGAGGGAGCCCGGAGAAAAGGGTATTCACCACTTGCTGCGTGTTTCCCAGGCTTAACTCTTGGTGGTAGCAGAAAGCCCATCTTTCTCCACCAGAGCAGCTGGTGAGTTCGAACAGCTGACCTGCGGTCAGCAGCCTAATGAGTAACGCACTGCGCCAACAGGGCTGCTGGGGGAAAGGGTTTGAGAGATAGAAACAGCGCCTTTAGAAGTGTATAGACCTAGATGGAGGAGATATCCAAAGTCATTTTTTGGGAGGATATATCCAAAAGTAGTTTTGGATATATTGGTATTTTGTTTCAAGAACAGTTGCTCTGATTTGGCAGCAGTATTTTTACTTACCCTCGTGCTCATAATATACAGATATTATGTACTTATACATAGTAACATAAATACAAGAACTTCATGTTTTCAATTTCTTCACAATACTATAAAGCCAAGCACCATGCCTCTCCAAAGAGAAGTACTTCAGATTAGCGGGTTGTGATCTGTTTCTCACTCTAGAGGAAAGGTTTCACATTACGTATCCCACCACACTGAGGCCAAGACCACACGTACACCAATCTGGCCCATTCATTCTGCATTTAGACCTCCAGAGCAGATTACACAATTTCAATATGTAACTCAATCCAAAACATTAGCAATTCTACGCTGATACATATATCACACCGCAGAGAGTGGCCATCCTTCACCACTATCTCTAGTATAGCATTCATAAGCATGAAGTCTTATTAAAATTCCTCCCCACATTTCTCTCTTCCAGACTAAGTTATTTTCTACATAGTTGAATACAATGACAGCTACTCTAGAAAGGAAAACCTCAAATTCAGCCTCAAAGACTTTATCCTTAAATGTTTTCTTTTCAAGGAACGCAACATTTACAGACAGGCTCGTTTGCCGCAGAGGGCTATTTACATAATCAGATAGAAGACTTCGACCTTCGCTTTTCACTAAAAATGTTGGAGAGAGAGAACCCCATTTGAATGAATGCTCACGAATTCGGTTTGGGGAAGCTTGAAGAGAGAAAGTCAAGAGACTGTAAGGAAACACACTCGCGTAAGGATAGGTGCTTTGGGGTTTTGTTTTTAACCCCATTCTAGCCAAACAAAGCGTATGCCTTATAGCCCAGGAACTGGGAGAGGACGGTCGCCCAGAAAGACGGACAAGACGGACTCGTGGAGTCCTTCACCTCGGCTAAGCCAGTAGGAGGAGAATCAATAGGGCAGCAGCCTATTCGGAACTCCTCCGCCACCTCTGCCCTCTGCGGGAGACACTGGCTGTCTACTCGCTTATGCCTGCAGTTTTCAGCAACCCGTTCTAATAGGCAAATGCCATACAATTCCCACAACTCCAGGGACAAAAGAACCTTGCAGGAATGGAAAAGAGATATGACAGTAAAGCTACAGCTCCTGTGAAAGAATATTCTTGCCCTCCACCTTGACCTTTCCAGCTCTGAGCCCCAAGGCAATGACCATGTATTTTTTTATCTACTACAAGGTACTTCAGTATGGTCAGAAAGGAAAATATTGTGGACACATTCAGAGAAACTCTTCTTAGAATATCACCTAATGCAAACCCTTTCAACAACATGATCCACAAGTAATACAATGTAGTTGCCCTCCACTCCAACTGCACATAAATAAAAGCTTCAATAATGACAGAAAGCCTTGAGGTTTCATTATCTTTTGTAATTTCTTACTCATACAGGTGTACAATCGTTGAAATTAATGGCAGATGTCACAAAATGCACAAATGAAAATGAAAATGTTAAAAGGGATCGGTTTATTACGAAGAAGCCAAACCAAGCGCTGCCGCCGAGTCGATGTCGACTCACAATGACCCTACGGACGAGCGGACAATCAAAACGTTCAAGAAACTGTTAGTTCTTTGCTGGGCCGTCAACTGCACTATCTGTCTCAGTCCCCCTTTCACTCAGAGGTGTGTCTTTAACTGAGCTACAGCCAAAGCCACCCACATACTACCGTGATTCACAACACTTCCAACCAATGAGAAACACTAACACAACTAACCCAAAAACCTTCACAATGCCTTCAGGGAGACCTCCAGTCTCTCAATGAAGCTGCCAGAGTTTCTGCCAGCCCACCAGACTCTGGAGGGACAGAGCACCACCCACAGGACTTCACATGAGCGAAAATCCAGTCGGCCTTGACTGCACAACATCTATGTTGCTTTTTTGTTTAATGTTAAGTCACGGTATTAAGATGTATCTGTTACCACAAATAGTCCTGACAAATACAGCCTTCTTTCCCTCTAATACCTGGAAAGAGTCATTCTCCTGTCCTAGATGGTGTCTACCCATCTAGAGAAGAAACAGATCGGCAGATGGGTTTCCTGGTGCACTGGTTAAAGGATAGGCTTCAATCTGTTCCACTGCAAAATCTACCTACAATGCTGCATCGGAGAGACCTCAAACCAAGTCTGACCACTCTTTGACTTAAGTGTTCATTAGGTCCCAGTCTCCTTCAGGATAAGCTCTACATACAACAGATGAGACTTAAGATCTTCCATGATCAGGCTTTTGACTCTTCCCCCCGCCACAACCATGAGCCATACAGTCTGATCAACCAGACATGCACTAGGCCGTGAAGAGGCACCATGAACTCTCCCACTCTGAAATACTGTTTCTTCCTCCACGGTGCCATGACGCTTAGCTCTAGTCCTAATTCTTCCCTGAAGTTCATTTAAAACATATCTATAATATTTACATATGCTAGATACTAAAGGGCTTCAACACGTCATGGAAAATCTCATTATCTTTTAATTACATTTTACCATGAATTTTAAAGTGAGAGGGCGAAAGAGGTATTTAAATATAAATATATGAATTTCTAAATTATACATTATATATGTGTATGCATCTCTGTGTGATATATAAACCTACATTAATGTATGTATGTGTTTACATATAAGATGGCCTGATGGTGTAGTGGGTTACTACTTGGGTGGCTAGCCAAAAGGTCAGTGGACCAAATGCACTAATTGCCCTGAGGGAGAAAGATGAGGCTGTCTGCTCCTATAAAGATTTATAACCCAAAAAACCCTAGGGAATAATTACACTCTGCTCTATAGGGTTACTATTAGTCACTCGACAGTAGTGGGTTGGTTCTCTTTGGTGTGCATATATACAATACACATATATAATATGTCTTGTCTATACTCATATTACATGCAACAGTGTATGCATCACTTCCATTTCACCACGAAAACACTCACTGAAATACTGCTTAGCACATACTGTAGTTGCTGAGTGCCATCCAACTGAGGCTGAGTCATGGTGACTCAATTGGGTAGCACAGAACTATCCCATAGGGTGTTCTCACTGCAATCGCTACAGAATGAGACTGTCCAATGGTCTTCTCTTGCAGTAGCTGGCTGACATTAAACTGTCAACCTTTCAGTAAGCAAGCAAGTGCCTACCTCTTGTACCACCAGGGCTCCTAACACCACTATTACAAAAAACAAAACAAAACAAAAAACTGGCCATGGAGTTGGTTCAGACTCATGATAACCATATGTGAGAGGGTGTCTTCCCCTGCAAAAATGGAATTTTTTTTCAAAGCTATGTATTTATTATTATTTTTTTTATAAAACAACCTTATCACCTTCAAAGTATTCTCCATTACACCTAATTCATTTGTCAATTATGCTGCTCCATTCTTAGAAACCTTTCAAACTCATCTGTTTGGTTGGCTAACAGCACCTCCCTCGTTTTTTTCTTCACCTCTTTCATGTCATCAAATTGCTATCCTTTCGTGTCCCTCTGCACTCACAGAAACAAAAATAAGTTGCACACAGTGAGGTCAGGTAAGTCAGGTGTGTCCAGTAAGAGAGGCATGCTGGTATTTTTTTTGCCAAAAACTGGCACACTGAGATGGCTGCATGAGCAGGGGCATTGTCATGGTGGCAAAACCAGTCTTCCATCTGCCACAAATCTGGGTGTGGTTTTTTTTTTTTGTTACACGCTGTTATGCAATCTTTTCAGAACCTCTAAAAAGTAAGTTTGATTACAGTCTGACCTGGTAGAACAAACTCTAAATGTACTATGAGTCGATATTTTTGTCCATTTGGGAAATTGGCAGACGTCCAGAAAGAGGTTTGTCATTGATCGACATTTCACCATTTTTGCACCCAAGTTTTTCCCATAGCTTTGCCCTTGCAAGCTGTGTTCAACCTCACAACAGTTTCTGAGACACTTTTCCCAAGTAGGAAATAAAATTTCACAGTTCTCTTAAATCGACCATCATAAAAACGAGGTTCCAGCAAAACTGTTTTCATGAAAAAATTCAGTGACCAGAGAGAACCTTCCCAGGTGATGCCACTGGGTGCACTAACTCAAAGCAAGTTGCTTGATGCTCGCCTAGCGTTATGAGGGGCGTATCCCTCACATAGAATTTCTGAGACTATAAATCTTTAAGGGATCAGACAGCATCATAATGCCTCTGAGGAATGAGTGGTGGGTTTAAACAGCTAGTCTTGTGGCTAGAAGCCCAATGCCTTAAACTACAGCACCACAAGGTCTCCTTTCCACACGTAGTAGGCATTCACAATGTTAGGAGTTTGTTTTGTTTAGGGGTTTTTGTTGTTGTTTAAGACAAAAACACTGGGTCCTGTAACATGGATAATTTTTATACAACAAACATAAACTAGGAACCCTGGTGGCACTGTCAGTAAGCGTTGTACTGCTAGCCACAAAGTGGGTGGTTCAAATAGAGCACTCACTCCTGGGGAGAACATTCAGGCCATCTACTCCCAGAAAGATTTGAAGCCTCAGAAACTCTGTATGGGGTTGTGACTCAATGACAGAGGATTTAGGTTTTAGAAGCATAAACTGGCAAGTGGGATTAAGGCATGGGCAATTTTTGGATGAATGCATTTAATGAGCAATCAATTGTTATAATTACCGTGGTGGATGATGCCATTTTCTAATAATGCTTGTCCCAAGTGCACTCCCTCCTCAGGCTTGTGAATCTCTCCAATTTCTAACAACCAGGACACAAATTCGCTGCAACAAAAACACAATGGAGGAGTTAACAGGCAGTCTATCTGTACCATGTAACCATAAAGAACTATCGACAGTCTCAAAATATAAAGGGATCTTTGCAGTGGCTTTCAGCATACAGCCCCCACCCCCACCCCGTCCCTCCAGGCACACACATATGTCAGACCAGAGTCATTTAAATCACACTATCTTCTAGAAAACACATGCCCATACATTGAGGCTTGCCTAAACCTACCTACAAACTATTCAATGTGCTGAGGTCTCTAATGAACACAAAAATGAACATTTCAGAACAGCTTTAATTATAAGAATACTTTCCACATAAAGGAAATGGTAGGATTAAATGGAATAAAGAGATCCTAAGAAAAGCTAAAGACACAGAACTTGATAAAACAATAATGCTTTAATATAAAGGGTAAAACTCTCTTTAGTCTGGCTTTCCAGGCATGGAGAACCAGTGAGTTTGAAACTCCAGGGTGGAATGAGGCTGGGAGTGGGGGTGGAAGTGGAGGGGAACACAGAACCCCTATGTGGTCCTCAGTCACTGCCCTGGAGAACTGCCCCTTTGGGTTTTCTATGTGGACATAGAAAGCCTCAGCTTTGTCAGAAAGAAATGAAAACTGGACAGGTACGCATTCTAAAAATGAACCCTCCTCCCTGGTCTCACTGCCAAAGTTCCCGTTCTCTTGCTGTTTGATCAAACACTAGACTAAGTACTTCTGAGAAGGGAGTTTGCAGAGTTGAGTGAAGTGGAACGTCAGGTGACTTGGAAGCAGGGACATTTGCCAAGTACTCCTGACGCCTTCAGTTGAGCCCATGAAAGAGAGTTTTTTCAGGTTGGTGGCAGAAGAGGGCACAGAGAGATCTGAAGTATGAGGAGGATCTGAATGCCACCGCTGGCTTTCAAGACAAAGGGACCCACCTCAGAAAGGCAGGAATCTGATAGCAGCTGAGGCGACAGGAAATAGGGACCTTGATCCCACAAGAGCTAGGAATTAAACTCTACTCACCTGAGCCTGTTCGCAAGTGCAAATAGATAGTCTTCCCCAGAATATCGAGATAAGACTCTCATCCAGCCGGCAGTTTTGTGAGCCCCTACGCTCAAAAGAACCCAACTGCACGTCTG